CCGTGCCTTCACCGAATTGGCGAGATACGCGCCTCATATGGTCAGTGATGAGTATAGGAAAGCCATGAAGTTTGAAAGTGGACTACGTGGACCAATTCAGGATCGGGTCAACATGCTCAATATGCCGACTTATGCCGAGGTGTTAGACAAGGCCATCTTGGCGGAAGCTAACTTAAACCGATATCAAAGTTCAGGAGAGAGTCAGAGGAAGAGACAGAACTATGAAGGTCGTCGGATGCCGTTTAATGCCAAGAAGAAGGCGAATGTGGGCAGTTCCAGCAACTCAAATCGGGATGGTAATGCTAAGCCGACGTGTGCGAGTTGTGGGAAGCCGCATCTCGGGGTTTGTCGCTGGGCGACAGGAGCCTGCTTTGAATGTGGCGAGGTAGGCCACCGCGTGAAAGACTGTCCTAAGGCAAGAGCTGATGATGGTAAGAAAAATGGGAGCACCTCGGGCTCTGCACAAGGGAGCAACGTCGGAAGGACACAGATGAGACAGGGCAGAGTTTTTGCTCTAGTGCCAGGAGACACCCAGAATGCTAAAACGGTAGTATCAGGTACACTCTCAATTTGCTCTCAAGTTGCATACGTCTTGATTGTTCGGGCTCTACACATTCATTTGTATCTGTTAAATTTGCCGGGAAGTTGAACAGACCGTTAGAACCCCTTGATTATATGCTATCTGTATCTACTCCATCTGGGGGGACTATAATTATTGCATCTATATATAGGGCGTTGTTGTGGTGATTGAGGATGTAGAATTATTCGCTGATTTGATGCCATTAAGCATGACTCACTTCGATGTCATATTGGGAATGGATTGGTTAGTAGCGCATCATGCACCCATTAATTGTGTTACTAAGAGCGTTACACTGAAGACCCCAAACAAAGCCGAGGTCTTTTTCCAGGGTAAGGGAGTAGTACCCCCACCCTACTTAATCTCATCCATGAAAGCCTATAAGTTGATCCAAAAGGGGTGTCAGGGTTATTTGTGCAGTATACCAAGTGATTTGAATGGAAGTGTCGAATTAGCCGACATACCAGTTGTTAAGGAATTTCCCGACGTCTTCCCAAATGAGCTGCCTGGTCACTTAGTCGATAGAGAAAGAGAGTTTACTGTGGACCTCGTGTCGGGAACACAACCTATCTCCAAAACACCCTATAGGATGGCCCCAGCTGAACTTAGAGAGCTGAAACTACAGTTACAAGAATTGTTGGATAAGGGATTCATTAAGCTGAGCACTTCACCGTGGGGAGCACCTGTTTTATTAACTTAGAGCTGAAACTACAGTTACAAGAATTGTTGGATAAGGGATTCATTAGGCCGAGCACTTCACCATGGGGAGCACCCGTTTTATTTGTTAAGAAAAAAGATGGCACACTTCGCCTTTGCATTGATTACAGGGAACTTAATAACGTAACCATTAAGAACAAGTACCCATTGCCTAGGATTGACGATTTGCTTGATCAATTACAAGGGGCACGAGTCTTTTCCAAGATTGACCTTAGGTCGGGCTACCACCAGCTGAAAGTTAAAGCCGAGGACATTGAGAAGACTGCTTTTCGGACAAGGTATGACCACTACGAATTTTTTGTAATGCCTTTCGGAGTGACCAATGCTCCTGCAGCGTTCATGGACTTGATGAACAGAGTCATTAAGCCGTATCTCGATGAGTTCGTGGTTGTTTTTATTGACGACATATTGATCTATTCCAAGAGTACAATTGAGCACGAGAATCATTTGAGGCTTGCCCTGCAAATCTTGAGAGGCAAGAAACTGTACGCCAAGTTGAGTAAGTGCGAGTTTTGGCTTTTCAGTATCTCATTTTTAGGGCATGTGATTAATGAAGAGGGTATATCAGTTGATCCGAGTAAGATTGAAGCTATTGTGAATTGGCCGACGCCGACCAACGTGTCCGAGGTTCGTAGTTTCCTAGGCTTGGCAGGTTATTATAGAAAGTTTGTGAAGGACTTCTCAAGGATAGCAGTACCATTGACACAACTAACTAAGAAAGAAGGGAACAGCATATGAATGGACCGATGATAGAGAATCAGCCTTCCAAGAGTTGAAGACGAGGTTAGTTACGGCACCAGTTCTTGTACTCCCGTCAAGTAATGAGGAATTTCAGATTTTCAGTGACACTTCACATAAGGGTTTGGGTTGTGTATTAATGCAAGGGGGCAGAGTCATAGCATATGCATCTCATCAGTTGAAACTTCATGAAAAGAACTATCCAACCCATGATCTAGAGCTAGCAGCCGTGGTGTTTGCTTTGAAGATTTGGCGCCACTACTTATATGGAGCCTCTTGCCAAGTTTTCACGGATCACAAGAGTTTGAAGTACTTGTTCACCCAAAAGGAGTTAAATTTGAGGCAGAGGAGATGACTTGAATTATTGAAGGATTACGACATGCAGATTCAGTATCACCCAGGTAAAGCAAACTCGGTAGCTGACGCATTGAGTAGAAAGTCAGTGGGAAGTTTGGCATGCCTAGCTATGATTTCAGTGGAGCCGACTACTATTGGAGAAGTAAAGGCAAGGCAAATGGAGGATGGATTCCTGAAGAAGGTAGTCGACGAGATTACCACCAGGCCGAGGTCGGGTTACACCCTTGAGAATGGAGTGCTTAAGTTTGAAGGAAGATTGTGCGTGGCCAACGTCCCAGAATTGAAAGGAAGGATTTTGCAAGACTCTCATGGATCCAGATTTGCAGTTCATCCAGGGAACACAAAGATGTCAAATTATTTGATTAGATTTTATTTATGTTTTTTATTTGGTCTTAAATTAGTTTTGGAAGTCTAAACTATTATAGTAGTTTCCTTTTTTGGTTCTAATTGGTTTAAGAAGTCTCTTAGTTCTATATAAAGCCATGTAATGCTTTTAATTATATAGAGTTGATATTTTATAAAAGGTTGAGAGTTTTGAAGCTTCTTAATGGATTATGTGATGCAATCAAACCCTAGGTATGATGTCTATGGAATCTAGGTGTGATGCCTAGACCTATCTTCTTCTTCTCCTTTCTTCTTCTTTTATGTTTTAGTTACTATTCACGAGTTACTGTTCACAGCCTTATAGCAGCCCCTAAACAGTGCTAAAATCCCATCTTTTCATGCTTAAACTCTTACCTATTTATTACCCTAAACAAACCCTACTTGTTCCCTATTTGTCCTGCATCACTAAACTTCCATTTCCCCAATTTCGTCCGTTCTTCTTACTTCTCTGATTTCTCTTTCTGCTCCACAAATTATACCCCAGGATGAGCCAACTTTAGGGAAAATGTAATGAAACCTAACCACTAAATTTTTCCAAACCATGGCAGGAGCATAATTCTTATTTTTAACTTCGAACAAGAGCAAAAATAGTTACAGCTTCATTGTACGCATGACCAAGCTTTCAATGATTACAATTTACAAATATGAAGATAGAAAACCACAGGTCAATGCTAACACAAAGATGTTGGCATCACAAGATCGATAAATACCTGAATACCATAGGGCAGTAGTCCATCCAATAGAAGTCAACAGAATAATGTGGAGGTGTGAACTGGGAGCCCTTCCTCGGAAAATACATTTGTATTCTAGCTCGTTCTCCAAAATCCGAAGCTCTCACCTCACGCATGGGTACTGGTGTGATCTTTCCAACAGTGTACCTGTCAACTTCAAATGAGATGTTACAGCAATGAAGGATGCTTTTCACATATTATGTTGTACATTTCAAGAAAAAATCAAAATCACATAGTGAGATCTTTTACAGATAGGTACAAATGACCAATGAACTAATTGCTACAACTGCTGACAATAATAACAACAATAATCATAGTAGAAGGATAGGAACTTTTTCCTCATTTTGGTTACCTGATACCAAGTTGCAGATTAAGCATCAGATAATAACTCCTATTGAGTAAGCCTTCAAAAATGTTCACACATGAACTCTTTTTCACTTCTTTGGCATGAAACTTATTCGGATTTTCACTTTTGTATGATAGTCCTGAACTTTTTCTAATCCTTTCTTTAATCAAAACTCCTTGCATGTATTCCCTTTCAAAAACTACAGTAGTATTATCCTGCACCTCACACTGAGGTCCATCAGCGGAATGAGATAACATTGATGAAGTGTCGCAAGATGAAAACTCTCTGGTGGAGTGACAAAGGCTACAGCCTTCATCCAATGATGTAGTCCTGTGTGATAGTCGACCTGCACCTCTTAAAAAGCCATTAATAGAAATCTTTTCAGAAAGACTACGCTTGACACTAGGAGTTGGAACCCTGCACTCCCCCAAATTCAAGGATGAACTATGAGATAGCAACCCTTTGCTCTTGCCCTGGTGTTTGTCAAAGCTACACAACTTTCTAAGTGATGGATGTTTACTTCCAGTAGGATAGTATGTTCCTTGCCCATCCTTTAGACCCTTAGTCCATGTCCCAAAATAATAACTCCCATCTGCAAACCTGTAACAGCCCGACCCATGTCTGAACCCATTCAACCAAGACCCATCAAAAAGATCACCATTCACCCATTTCATAACACCTCTGCCAAACATTTTCCCAGCTTTCCAGTTTCCAATATATGTGTTACCATTACTCCAAGCATACCTACCCCTGCCTTCATATAGTCCCTCTTTCCATAAACCGTTGTAAAGATCAGAATTAGGGTACTCTTTTCTTCCAAACCCATGTTGAACATTCATTCTCCAGGCTCCTCTGTACACAGACCCATCACAACTAGTAAAGGTGCCACATCCATGAAGGTAACCCCCAGAAAAATCACCCTCATAAGTTGCACCTGATGGCCAAAAAATCTCTCCTTTCCCAGTCATCTTTCCTTCTTCCCAATCACCCTCATAGATTGTTCCATCTGACCAAGTATACTTTCCTTTGCCATGGGGAAAGATTCCCTTGAAATTACCAACATAGATGTCTCCATTTAAGAAGACCTTCTCATAGAACCTGAAAAAATACGTTACACTTTAACCAAAATATCATGAAATGTATTGAAGTATATTAAAATCCATATTCATGTGTAAAAACTGACATTCTATCACCAAGAAAAAATACAGATGCTTAAGAGGAAAAAAAAAAAACCTTTCACTGCTCTCCATAGCAGTCCTTGATAACTTTCAATTAACTCATCTTAAACACCTTGCTTAACCTTAACCAATGGAACAGAATCTCTTATTTTGAATTGTGATGCTCTGGAAAATGAAAACAATTGTCATATTGAGAACGGAGAAATCAACATTTTAAACACAATGACAATCAGAACCCCAGAAAACTCCCAATTTGACTGTACTACCAAAGAATTGCTGGGTTTTTATTTTTTTTATTTTCTTTTTGGTTTTTCGGAATGGCAGGATCAAAAAGACTAGCTGCATATAGGGGTTGTACTACCTTGAAAGAGAAAAGGGATCATTACCTAGTGTCGTCCCCGTTGACTAAGGATGCTGTGGAGGGGAAGTGGCATTAACCCAACCTCCATTTTACTATCGTGCAAGACATTTGACTGTAATGGTTGACCATCTTGTTGGCCGTTTCATGTGATGCTTTGTCTTATATCTATATTTTGTTTTTTTTATAATATGTTCTTGTCATGCTAAGTGCCTTCAATGTTGCTGTAAAGAATAACCAACTGGGGCTAGCTCAAATGGTCAGAACCCCTCCACCTCAATAGGTGGTTAAGGGTTCAAGTCTTGCCAAATGCAAAACGTCCACCCTCCCTAGGCTACAGCCTCTGATGTACCAAAAAAATAATGCTTTAAAGATTGCTACTTTCTCATTTTCTGAGTAATCTCCTGCTTGCAAAAAGAGCATTAGAATGCCACAAACATCTGACATCTTTTCATTTTATAGAAAAAAAAATTCATTTTTTTTCCTGAAACTGCATCCTTTTATCGATTACTTTTAGCAAAAATACCTTCAGTATACATGTGCCATCTACCACTGCAGCTCACACATTATCCAATTAATAAGATTTATTTTCCTAGGAGATCATGAAATATCTACCGAGAGTATTTTTACTATAAAGCATTTAAGAAATACAATTGCATAATTTTTGTATTAGTGGAGAGAGCACAGAGTCCTAAAAAGACAGATAATGATATAGCCACATGATTAAAATTTTATAACATAAGAATTTGCTAATCTTACCAATCAGACCAAAGTACAGATATGGAAAGTGCCTAAATCTAGGATAATGTAGAGCATTAGGCACTCCAAATATCACATAAACTTTTAGACTTACGGTATGTCTATGTGTCCAAAGGGGAGAAAAGGAGCAGGGTGTAGAGAAAGTGACAGTGTTTGAGAACTTCAAAGAGCTGGCACGACATTAATATCATAATGATTCTCATACCAGCCAAATTTCCAATTCACAGCAAACAACTCATCTCATTGATGAATCAAGACATAATGTCCAACAAACATTTTCAAACAAATTAACAATCAAAAAGTTGATGCTCAAATGCAAAACCATGCTCACATGCAAACTAGAAACACAAATGGACAACGATGCTCATAAAATCGTACTGCAGATACAAGACAAAAGAGTGTAGAATCTAGACTAAGAACCAATGTTATATCAAAATGAGATGGATAGTTACATCAAAACAATAGAGAAAGAAGTCTTAATCAAAGAGACTTCTACTAGAGAAACTAGGAGGTTGGGCATGCTTTAAATAGAAGTGTACACACACGAGCGTGCAAAAACAAAAACAAAAAAACAAAAGAGAGGAAGGGAAGGAGGGAGGGAGAGGCTACTAGAAGTTTTCCCAGTTGTTAACTTCAGGCCCTGGGATTAATTGAGATACACACAAGCTGGTCCGTACACCCAGTTATCAAAAAAGACAAAAGAAAGATATCGCAAAGAATTATAGCTCAGAAATGACAATAGATTATTTATTTTCTCTAAAATATCGCCGGCACACCATTAAGAGAAAATTGTGTGGCTTTTGTTAGTTTTTGTAATCCAAGTGGACAAGACAAGATATTGTTAGTTTCTAACACTCCTTTTGTTGTGGTGTTAGCATATAAAGAATCTCATTTTTCGAATAGATACAAATAGTGAACCTATTCATGATGATACAATTGTATTCTTTTTTTTGTTTTTTTCCTTGTGCGAAGCATAATTGCTTAGATTGACGGCAATAGCAATTAATATTAAACACAGAGCACTAGACATCAATAAGAGAACATCGAAGCAACAAACATGAAGCAAATTATCAAGAACAAATACACATACACAAAATCACAATCAAAGAACAATTATTCAGATCATCACATTGCAATTCAATTGTAACAACCAACCGATCGATCCCACACTTCTGCCCCATTTTTTTCTGATCAATTCAATAAAGTGAAGAGAAATCTACTAGTCGCTATAGCTACAGATTCCAATGCCAAAAGCAGAGAAAACACAAAACTCACCTGCAATAGATGGATTGAACGAAGTGAATAGAATCAATCGAAACCCTAGAGATTGAACAACACGCCGCTCTCCGAATCGGTTTACAGAGTCCAAGCCAACAGCACAGTAACCAGAATCAACACTTCCTCTGTCCAAAAAATCTCTCTCTCTCTACTGTGCCGTTGCCTGCTGTGAGGAGAGAAAGAGACCACCCTGGCACTGTAGAGTGGGGACACGTGTCGAGAAGGTAAGGAGTGGGATCCATGTCTATTGGTTGATGTTGACTCCGACAATGTTGAAGTTGGGAAATTATTCCATAATCCGGAGCACCAGGTGTCCATACTCCAAACCAATTATCAATTAGTTAGCCCCGTGTTGTCCCTCACTTCCAACATAAATCGTGGCCCTTGTGTCTCTCCACCAAACAAAATATTATAGAGCACCACGTGTCCATATTCCGAAAATACTAAATAATTACCCGTTGAAGTTTGGGTTTGGATTTGGGTTTGGGTTTGGGTTTTGAATTGGGATCCTCTCTTCAGAGAGGGACCCTGTAGTTTGATTGGGTGGGCGTATGGAAAGTGGTGAGCTTGTCGTTGAACTGTTTGCCACGTAAAGCACAAAACCGTCGTTTTGGAAAAATGGGATTCGCTTCTCTCCTGTGATCGGATGGTCAGATCAGAGGATATCGTTGGATCTGTGACCGGTCATTACTGTTCCGTTTTAATAATTTAAATCGTTTAACAAATAAAATTTATTGAATAATACATATGTAAAAAATTATACTGATTGAATATTAATAATAATTTTATTGAATTAGATTTTTATTAATTGTTTATTCTTTATATTCACATTGACATGTTAACATTCACATTGATAAGTGTGTACAATTGGCCCGTGACCCGTGGGCAGCTCGAAGCCCGACCTCGGGCCGGGGCGGGCCTGGCTCGTTGGTAATGTGAATATTCACATTGACATGTTAACATTCACATTGATAGGAGTGTAAAATTGGCTCGCAGCCTGTGGGCAGCCCAAAGCCCGCCTACAGCCCGAGGCGGGCCTGGCCCGGCCCACCAGACTCGCGCGTGAGGCCCAGTGTTATTTTTAATAAAAAATAATAAAATTTTTGTAGAAAAAATAAAATAAAAAAAAATTAAAAATTATTTAGGCTCGCCCAAAGCCTGAGCTCAGGACCAAGCCCAGGCCCAAGCCCAAGCCCAGGCCCAGGGACTAGCCCCGAGACCCGAATACCCCTAGGCCTGGGCTTAGTTTTTTGGCCCGTGAGCCAGCCCAATCCGACTCGATTTTTGGCAAGAACCCGCAAGGCCTAACATTTACACCCTTATTCATAAGCCCAACACCACCTCCGGAGGAAAGCCAAACCCTTGGAAGCGGTTTTTTTTTTTATTGATAGTCCAAAGCGGTTTTTTTTTTTTAATCAATTTTAGTGATATTTCACACTAATTATAATATTTTTTATATTTTTTGTACGGGGAGGAAATAATTCTCCTCGTATAATCCTGTTGACCAAGTCCACGCTCCTCCGTACGACGTCGCTTTATCACCTGAAAACACAAACGTGAGCTAGCCGGCGGGTGTGTGCCGGAAACCTCTCCGATGCCTAAGTCAGTAAGCTTGACAAATAGACAAAGTTTTATGTTCTCAGAAAGAATTATGTTCAATTACCTCCTCCAAGGTGGTGCTTGTGAGTTTTTATAAGTTTCCTGTGGCATAATCCTAGTAGGACTTGTACTCCTCCATGCAGAGTCCTCCTAGGATTCACACTCCTAAGGATAATGCTTATCCTTTTACACCCCCCTCACTGCTTAAACCAAGTGAGATGGTTTTTACCTCGGCCGAACTACCATACGACCGAGATAAACCTGACTATACTGAGCCACATAGTAGGCCATACTAACAGTAGTTTGGTTCTTCTTCATGCTACACCATATCTCGGTTCTCTCATACACGAACTGTGGTGTGTTGGGACCGATCTACTGAGTAGCAACATTCCAACCGACCTACCCCGAATTCATTATGACCGGACTCCCTTTTTGAGACCGGACTAACTCAAGTTGTCTAAACCGAAGCAGTTTTACAATTCCTTAGCTGAAGTAACTTCATCTCTTTTGACCGAAGTAAGTCAACATCTCCTCAGAACCGGAGTAAATCTATCGTTCTTGAACCGGAGTAACTTTAACAGCTTGGGCCGGAGTGACTTTTATCTCTCTTGGGCCGGAGTAACATTTCGGCCTTTTTACCCAGTCCTTGGTATTTTGGGCCACAAAGTCCATCACATAGCTCGGCCCAATTTTTACCAAAAATTACCCTCTCATTTTTAAATCAATTAACATGAAATTATAAATTTCATCACTTTTACCAATGACACGCACCACCTGCGTTGCCCCCAACCAGCCATAACTTTTCCGTTTTGGGTGGAGGATGCGATTCTGGGGTGAGTATGCACAGCTCAGATGCCGTGGATTCTCTTATTTTAATTCTCTTCTACAGCCACGTGGAAGGTAACCTGCCAAATGTGTGTTGGAGAAATTGTGCGGGTCTTTTGTTGAAACTTGTTTTTTGAAACAAAAATGTTATAGGCCTTCAAAATTTTATCAAATATTTTATATAGGTGTGAGATTTATATGAGATTTATATTGTGTGAGTTCTACACTTATATGAGATATTTGATAAATTTTTTGATAAAATATTTAATATCTCTATCATTACTCTTTTTGAAATCATAAGCATGGTTGAGAGTAAGACAATATAAAATATCGTTTTTAATTTGTTAAAATTATATTGATTTGTATCATTTTATTTGTTAATTATATAAATTTTAAAATTTATAATCTGTTTTTGAAATTATTTTGTTTCGTTATAGTTAATACATATATATATTTTTTAACTTTTAATGAAATATCAAAATAAAAATGAGTGTGAGAGAGATTCAATATGTAAAATTTGTTATAAATTAGTAATTATATGTATGAAAATTATTATGAAAAATTAGTTTGTATTATATAAATGAAATATTATTATTGTTATATATTTTGCAAATATTTGATAACTGCTTAAGAATATTTTTTAATTTGTTAATCCGCTTATATCACTTAAACCTTAATTTGTCAATTCGTCATTTGATTTATAATTTTACTTTCAAAGTGTCCGAATCACACCCCACACACCCCTACGGAGAGAGAAGGATTGATTTTTTTTTAAAGATTAAAAATTAATTTGATAAAAATAAATGAAAATTTTGTTGAAATCTATTTTTGGAAAGTTCAAGAATTGTTTTTGTTTCGATTATAAAGACGTGATTAATGAAATTATTTAGTGATAATTTATGTTAAAAAAGCAATACCCAAAAAATATAAAATCACACAAAATAAAAATTTTAATTTTTTTCACTTTAGTTTTTAATTTTTTCTAAACAAATATCTGATAACTTAATCCAACATATTGAATTTTAAATTTTGTTTTTTGAAATTATTTTTAAAAAATTATAAATTCCTTTTGGAAAAAATAATTAATAAACTGTGGGTGGCATGGCTGTATGGTCCCCAAGGCAACTCAACAAATTTTCTGCCTTTTTTGCTTGAGATTTGGGTTGTCAAATTGTTGGCTATATATTTTGTGTGGGTCAATCACAGTTCGACGCGTGGCAAAATAAGGGCAATACGGGAAGACTATTCAAGTCTTCAATCGTAATCACACACGTGGCAGTTAGTGTTGGTTTGTGCAGATCTGCGTAGCACTGAATCAGCAAAGAAATGCAAGTTGACGTGGCTTCAACGGTTATTCGTATTTAAATTCAAAATCGAGAGGGAAACCTAACTGCAGAGATGGCATAGTGGAGCTAACTATAAGACAACATGATCAACAATGATGGAAGCATGATTCAACGGTTAGAAATGCAATTCGACAGTTGCCATTGAGAAATATAAATAGTAGAGAAGGCCCCAGAAAGCACCCCAGACTCAAATCTAGAAAACCAGTTTATATCTACTTTACTTTATTTCCAGTTCTTACATTTCTTGTCCTTCATATTTCTGTACTTTAGATTCATGTACTGCATTTCATTCATAGGAGTAGTTTCAAGTAGATTGTTGCTGTAAACCTCTACGAGGCTGAATTGGATCATTGTAAGTCTTTCGTTTTACTTAATGAAATACTGCAATTGTTCTTCATTTAATCATTGTCAGTTTATTCCTCCTAAGCAAAGCCACCAATAAAAATCCTCGTCATTGAGGCTTAAAGAACTAAAACACAATCATCTGATAATTGCTTGGCAATTAAATTTCTGTAAGGACTGATTGATCCTTGCTAGCACGCTCAAAATTACTGTAATAACCTTCGAAAGCCAAAAAGTCAACATATATTTTTGGCACGCCCGGTTGGACTCAAATTAAAATGGCTAGACGTAGGAGACAAGGAGAAAATGAACGCTTGGAAGAAGGCATGGAATGAGAGGCAGAAATGCCTAATCTAGAGGAAAATGTGATGACACATCCTGTAAAGGCATCTGGTGTGTCAGAACCTATGGTCGAACAAACAACACTTCAGAACAAATACCACATGTTCAAAGTATTGAACGAGGCCAAGGAGTTGGACCGTCCACTGTCCCATCTACTCAGCCAATAAATCCATGGGGAAGCCTAGTAGATGCCATGGAACAGCAGTTAATGAACACAACGGAAAGATGGACAGCATCCTTTTTGGATTGAATGGATACTCATCAACCAACTAATGCAAGGCATATAAAGGGAAATTCAAATGCCCCTTAGCAAAGATTGGCTAGAGATAAATAACCTATGCAGAGTAATGAACATACTAATGGTCAAACTAATAACCAAAACCATGAAAGACCACCACATCAGTCTTGGTATGAGCCTCTTTCGAGGCCAAACAAGATAAAA